AAAAGTGTGGAAAGGAGGGTTGAGTGGTGTGTGTACAATGATTATGAGTGAAAGGGTATAATTGTAACTTTTAGTATGTGAATTGAGAAAATTAATTAATAATCAAATTAATAAATATGTGTACTAAGAAAAAATATATACCAAAATAATTAAGTGTGTGGAAATAACATTTTCCACTATTTACAAGAACATCCTTTTTTTTAGCCTCTCACATTTTTCAAAAGGTCAAGATTAAAAAATAAAAAATAAATAAATGAAGTGTAAATATTATTGCCAAAACTAATACTAACATTTAAGGAGTATAAATTTAATAGCCACTTGTAGTTGAGTTTTAGTGTTATGGCCAAAACTTCTTTTCATGATCTTAGGGACCGTTGGGGTCATTTTCAACTTTTTGTTGTTTATGGACAATCATTAATATCATTTAACCCTACAATAAAATTTTAAAAAATAAATTAAAAAAATTTATTGTTTCAAACTATTGTGTGCTTCTAGAGCATTGCTAATAACGCCTCAGTAGCTATCATGGATGGGCATTGGTCGAGTGCCGTCCAACTCATAATTTAAAAATTTTGAGATTTAATATTGAGTAATACTAGAGACTCCAAAAATTCTATCAAAAGTTTTACCAATTGTCTCACATGGATCCCATGTGAGACTTTTGGTAAAACTTTTTATAGAATATTTGGGGCCTTTAACATTTTTATTTAATATTTTAAGCCACGGATTGAATTTTTAACTCTGTTTATTAAATAATTTTGACTTGAAAATAGTCATGAGGTTAGTTCGGTCTAATTATTAATATATTTTACAAGTTATATAAATGTGTATAATTTATTAATTTTATTTTTTATAAATAAAAAAATATTTAGATCCAAACTCAACTCGGCTAAATCTGATCAATATTTATCAGTAGTGGTTATATAATCATAAAAGTAACTTGTATTTATGGGTGGATTTCACGTGATTGTGTTCGTAGGACTCGATATTGAGTCAATGACCTACAAGCAAGGAATAAGTTCAATAATTCTTCAATATTTCATGCTCAAATTAATCAAAAACAAAGAAAACATATAAAAATGGATAAAATCATGATTATTGCCTGTAAATAGCCAATGAAGTCAGTGAGCTTTCTTGCAACACTTCCGACAAATTGAGAATCTATTGGGTTAAAAGCAATAAGGAGAGGTGATCAATTTTGGTTGGATGATTGATCATGTGATCATTTTGCCCTTTTTTTTTTTTTTTTTTATCTTTGGTATTTTTTTTTTTAATCTTTAAACCCTGTTTTGTTTTTAGCTCTTTATGACGAGTAATTAATTACAATTAATTGGCCGACTCTTCTTTATAAATGCTTAGAGGGAAAAGAAAAAGAAAAAGAAATATATGAAATTAATAGAAAATGATTAGAAATCAGTCACAATAATCACCTTGAGATCACACTGCTAATTCGCATGGGATTCGGTGAACAATGTTTAGTTGGTGAGGTGCAAGAAGGATTAAGTTACTAACAATCTATTATGAAGATTATTAAAGACTAACTGTGATATCCTACCGACCTATAAAATCATCAGAAAATATTTTAGCAATAAACTCAATCTTTATCTGTTTGTTTTGGTTGAAAATATTTGTTAAATAAATGCTTTTAAGAAATATATATATTTATATATGTTTTTAAAAAAATTATCTTATATTTGGTTGCATCATTGAAGTGTACTAATAGTTATAGTAGTAATGGTAGTGGAGGTGAGTGTAGTAGGATGAAGGTGGCAGCTGTAGCAATGGTGCCAATGGTTATGGCGGTGGTGTTGGCGGCAGTGGCAGTAAAATGGAGGTGATGGTAATATTGTGACATTGATAAGACTTTAACTTATTGAAACGTTTCAACCCTCTAAAAGCGAAAAAACATTTTTTGCCAAATAAACTTATTTTTCGTTGATTTTTATTTTTAATTATACCAAAAATAAAAAATTTAAAAATATTTTTTTGCTCAAAGAAATGGAACATAATAGTCTACTTTTTTTTTTCCTTCACTTATGATTCGCTTGTGTTTTATTTATTTTATTTTTTTAATAGGCATATAGAATTCATGGTAGATTATGGCTTTTACGAGTGAATTTTGAAAACTTTTATTAAATATGCAGAATTATTATTGTTTTAAATTACTCTAAATTACACTTATAATTGGATAGGATTGGAGGGTGCATAGCGTGACATAGGAGATGTACCAGGGGCATGATCGTTTGGACAGGTCATTGGCATTGATCCTTCGTATAAAGTTATTTAATGATCGTCAAGTGATCGATAGTACTGATGACAATTACACTTGGAAACCACAAGGCTAAAGTCGTGCAGGGCACAAAGAGAGGGGATAATGGATTTGAGGTGTGAATTGTCACACTTTTTAGCAATAAAAAGGATGATTGTTGAAAAGGGCCTTGGGAGGGTAGGTTCATGGTTTGGAAAAGGGGGAGATTAATATGTAGAGAGGTGGTGGGTAGATGAGAAGCAATTTCCACACTCATATATCATGTTGTTGGCCATCAATGGATTGTCTAAAAAGGGCACTTTCACAAAGTCACAATCCATTGGAAGGATAGAACCAAGCCTAGATCAATTTCACATTCAAACAACAATTATCCTTTCTCTATCAAGTATGAGAATGGGTGATATAGTTATTCTTGCAATTCAGATAGTTTTCAAATCTACACACTTAATTTTTTTTTAAAAAAATATTATATACACCATAAAATTTAGGAAAATATTATGGTACACATTCAAAGGGTATGTACTATATGCACTTTATAACTGTAAAAGAAAATAATATAATTTTATACTTTTTGAGTCATAATTAAAAAAAATAAAAAAAAGTTATAATTAAAATCTTCAAATAATATTAGTCATAATTTTAAAAAAATGATAAAACTAAGGGGGCATATAGTGTGAAGGTGTATATAATAAAATTTTCTAAAATTTAATATAGTGTATTCAAGAGCAATCTAAAACTGATTTTTGCCCTTCTATTTTTTCCTATTTATGTCTAATTTATTAATAATATTATCTATCCATAATTTTTAATAAAAAAGTGTCCAAATATTATAATATGTAGATCTAATTCATCATAATGTGACTCATACTAAACTAAAATTTAATACTATAAAAAATGATTTTATTTTATTTTTTAAAATTGACAATCAAAAATAAAATTTTAAAAACTCAAAATTTGGATACTTTTATGCGACCTTTTTTTTTTCAATGATGAAATATTCATATGTTAATAAAATTAAGTTACAATTAAAGGGACTTGATCTATCCGCTTGACCCCAATTGTTAACCCCAATTGTTAGGGGTGAGCATGGTTCAATTTGGGGTCAAATCAGAACTAATTTGTTATCTATAATTTTTAAAAATTTGGAATCAATCTAATCCGTTTAAATCGTGAAATCAATCTGAACCAATCAATTTAAACACTAATTGGATCGGTTTACGACCACGGATTCACATAATTAAATAACAAAAAAAAATATAGAACATTTTAATTTCATAAAAATATAAACATAGCATCAAACAAAAGTAATAAACAAAAGTAACAAACAAAAGTAATAAAACTGGATACCCATTACATAAAATAGAGTTTTCCTCTATATTAAAACTAAACACAACATCAAACAAAAACAATAAGGGTGTGTTTGGTAACGTTTACGTTTTCAATTTATATTTACAAAAATTTTATAAACTGATTTTTGTTTATTTTTTGTTTATTTTTAGAAAAACATAAACTACAAACGCGTTTGGTAATTGACAAAATGTTTAAAAAAATTTAAAAATATAAAAAAGAGTGAGAAATGGCAAGTGGTGGCAAGTGGCGGCGGAAGACGGTGGTGGAAAGTGGTAACGGTGGGCGGTGGGTAGCTGGTGGCGGGGGGGGGGTGGCGGTGGCGGGGGCGGCGGCGGGGGTGTTCCGTGGTAGTGGTAGTTGGTCGGTGGTGGCAGGTGGGTGGCGGCATACACTTGCAAAAATTTGAATTTTCATTGATAAGAAATTTATTACAAAAAGTGGGGACCAAGCCCGGTTACATCAGCAGTGTTGAAAGCAAAAATACAAAAGAGAAGAAAATTAAACTAGAGGGGATAGATGAGTGAATTCGTCCTCGCCGGCTTCAAGGTCAAC